AGTAGTCTTGTATTTCTTAAAAACGCTATTTCTCAATGCGGACATCCAATCGGAATATCGCAATTTAATATATTGTTCGAATGCCTCCCTCATCTCTTCTTCTGAGCACGTGTGTGTATATCCTATTGTGTTAAAGCGATCATACAGTAAATCCATTTGAGTTGATGAAAATGTTTTAAATGTTGGCCATGCTCCATCGATAGCCTGATAAAAAAGCACTCCTATAGTTCGCACAGCTCCAGTGGTTATAATCCTGAAAATTTAAACCAAATTTAAAGAAATAAATAAAAATGAATCTACACGAGAAATGGCTAACTTTGTAGGCCTTATACATTACCTTCATCTACGTATTACAATTGGAGTGTCATTTCCATCTTTACCCTTAGCCTTCCCTCTACCTTTTTTTATTCCAACAGTTGAACCTAATAAATATATATATATATATATTTGAAGTACAAGGTATAAAAAAAAAACTAGCTATAGGATCATATATAAAAAAATAATAATAAAAAATTATCATGTGAAGGTTCAGTTTAAACCTCATATATATATAAATAAAAAAAATTACCTTCTTCATTTGATGGTTCGGTTTCAAGGGGCATGTCTTCCATTTCATTATCATGTGATGGCACATGTTGGTCTAAGGAAGGTCTAGATGACTGAGAATGTGTAATGTCGGATGCTTTATTCTGATTCTTTCTCTTTCTTGCCCTGGCTACAATTTATAATAGAGCAAAAAATTGGAAATTAATTGAGAACTAATCATATAATTGAAATATATATATATATATACCAAAGAAAATTCAAAATTCAAAATAAATCATACATGTTTCTTGCATTTCGTTATCATGTGATGACTCATTGGAAATATGGCGATCTAAGGAAAGTCTAGATGACTGAGGATGTGCAGTGCCTGATGCTCTATCTTGACTCTTTCCATTTCTTGCCACGGCTAACATTTGTAAGAGAAATACAAACACAAAACATAATTGAAAAATTAAAAACTCATATAATAGAAATACAACTATAAAAAATAATAGAAACAAGAATTTAATCGATAATACGACACAAATAACTCATACATGTTTGATTTGTCTCTTGCATTTCACGATCATGTGATGCTCTATTATTGCTCTTTTTCTTTTTTGCCATGGCTGCCATTTATAATCACAAAACCATGTCATAATTTAAAAAAAAAAAAACATAAATCAGAAATAATACTTAAAAAAAAATTCATCCAAAAAGGAAAAACTAGGTAGAGAAAACAATTTGCTTCACCCGTTCAAACTAGATAGGTACTGATTTCCATGAGTACCCATGTCAGTATCACCATACATGGGTATTGATTTCTATCTTTCTGGAAGACAATTTGCTGAAGGTATGCTAAAGGCTGCCATAGATAATTTCCTCTTTTGAAAGAGTTTCAAACAATTTAAGAGGAAATTGCATGCTGTCCGTTCAAACAATTTGCTAAAGGTATGCTAATAACCAATACCCATTTTTCTATATCAATACCCATTTTTCTATATCTATATCAATACCCATTTTTCTGGTATGAAAACTCATGATTGTCAGGTGTTCTTAGAGAGATTACTTCCGTTTGTGGTGCGAGATTTATTGCCCAAAGATGTAAGTGAGCCTTTAATTGAATTATCGTACTTTTTCAAGGAATTGTGTGCTAAAGTTTTAAGAGAAGATGACTTGAATCTTCTTGACAATCAAATTGTCATAACTCTATGCAAGTTGGAAAAAATATTCCCTCCTGCTTTTTTTGACATCATGATTCACCTAACTTGCCACTTGGCATGGGAGGCAAAAGTGGCCGGTCCAGTACAATTCAGGTGGATGTATCCTGTGGAAAGGTAATCTCAATGTTTAGATATTAATTTTATTCATGATTTGTTTAACTGCTGATGTATGATTCTCTAATTTTGGTATTTATAACGTAATTAGGTATTTGCATAAACTAAAGACTTATGTTCGTAATAAGGCTCATCCAGAAGGGTCTATTGCCGAAGGTGTCTTGGGAGATGAGTGTTTAATATTTTGCTCTCGCTATTTGCATCGAGTTGAAACTAAGTTTAATAAAAGAGATAGAAACAACAATGGAGGTCAACCGTCATATGATACATCTCCGTTATCTATTTTCTCAACACCTGGTCGAGCTTTTGGGAAAGGTGTACTTAGAGAGATGAGCATCGAACTTCATAAGGCTGCCACTCATTATGTCCTGCAAAATTGTGATGAAGCTTTTCCATTTGTCCAGTAAGAATTCTTAAA